CATGCTGGAGAACATCATCATTAGGCTTTAGCCAAACCTGTTGAGTCCACTATTAAAGCAAAACAAAGACAAACCAAACAGTAAGATATTCTGACATTCATGCTAATTTTTCATCTGAACTATTTACTCAAATTGTTGTGGTCAGAATATGATTTGTGTTAAAAATGGCAGCATTTATGTTAGTGGTTTCAGATTTGACAGCCATTATATAGGTAGACCACTAAGAAAGAGTGCTTAGCTTGTAACATTACTATGAAGAAGATGACAGAGAAAGAAATATTAAGAATACAAGAGGTTAGTAAAAGTTTATGTCTTTTCAACACTGAGGTTAAAGTTGTGTGTGTGTGCGTGTGATAACCCAGTCTAATCAGAACACACCTTTGGGCAGATGAACAGAGAACCGTTCTTTAATCCACACTCATTTTTTACTAAAACCCAGCGACCCGGCCCTGCGTTACCAGCCTGTCAGAAATATAATCTACTCTAATCCACACACACATACACGTTTGAGTATTAAAATGTGTTTCTGTGCCAGGTTTGTTGTTTTAAAAAAGATGAGCAAATAGATGAATACTGCTGTTTATTGTATAATAACCATCATGATGTGCAGCAAGTGTGGTGTGTATGAGGAGGAATTTATTTGAGTCTGCATGTTTGGGCCAACAGATTAGAGTCAAGTCAGATGAGGTCACTCTATGAGCAGCAGAGCATTGTGGGACTGGAGTCCCAGATGTGTTTGTGTTCACCAGCTGCTGCACATGCAGACTGAATGAGTAATAGCAATCATATCGTGCTCTGTGTGTAGTGACAGAGAGACACGACAGGACAGAAGAAAAATAATCCTTTCAGAGGTTATGCTGCTATAATCAGTGGGGTTTTTTCTTTGACATTAGAGAAAAAAAGAAAAAACTCTACACAGAGATGCAGAACAAGTGTTTTAGAACAAGGATTTTAAAGTAGTGACCACTAGGAGGTACTGCCAGTCTACAAAATATTTGATTTATATTATATAAAATATTAAAACATGTTTTTAATATTTAAAACACTCATTTAATTTTTTTATAACAATAAGGTTTTTTATTCCTCACATGTTATAAATTGAGTTTACATGTACATGATCATTTAAATATGCCTTTATGTTTTAAAAAGTGTATCATTTTTTGGGTATCAAAAGGTTTGAAAGCTCCTTTCTTAGACTACACTATCTTTAAAGCTGCATTAATAGCTATATAGAAACTATTAAAATTCATGGTTATAAAAAAAACACCTTCATTTCTTGCCATTGTTCAACTGGCCCGAGATGGAAAATAAAACCTAGCTATCAAACTCTCCGTAGTTTGAGATCCTTGTTTTTGAAGACTGCCATATGTGTAGTATTTAATTTATTATTAAATCGATTTAGAAATAAAACACTGTCTTTGGGTTACCCACCCATTTAAGTGGAGAGTAGCCTATCTCACATATCCAGTTCAAATGCCCTGCTTTATTTATTGACTTAAAGATAATCAGATGTCAGACTAGTCAACCTAAATGTGTTAACACTTTTATCTAAAAAATGCCCATTCTCAGGTGACTTAAACTAATGGATAGAGTTTCAGTGAATGCTCTAATTATAATTACTGAGCAAAATAAAAAATACCAGTGTAGCTTATAATAGATCATTATTTTTTAGTACTTTTGACTTCATGTAGTAAAGAAAAGCAAGAAAATATGTTAATTCACAGCTTAGGCAATGACTCAGTGAATGCATCATCCTAAATTAGTGTGTAGCTATCTACAGTATGTCTCCAAGCCAATTAAATAATTATGACAATAACAAGCAATGATCCCTCTTCCAGAAAGGTGAGTGGGCAAGATTGGGTTTCTAGTGTGCTCACCGCTGGTGATTCAAGCTCAATATCAAGTGATTAGCACTGGATGCAAGGTTATCCTAGTGTGGGAATGCAACACCACAAGGCTAAGACCAGGTCATGAGCGGGTGAACCATGCACGAGGGGACAGATGTGCTTGTTAGGACAGCTCCTTAACCTGTCATCTCATCTCCTATCTGCTAATGAAGTAAGTCACTCTGGGACGCAAGTACCTTCCCAGAACATTAACATCATATTTGCAAAAAGTATATACTGTAGAAAAATTAAAAAAAAAAAAGAGTACTTCATATGGTAACATGAACCGGTTTCAGTCAAGTAAATGATGACTGAATAGGGTTATTAGCATTAACTAAAAATAAAAATAAAATTAAACAAGCAGTAAACAAAAATGACAAATGCTGTAACTAACTGAAAAAAGTTTAACTGGAAATATGAAAAAATAACTAAAACTGTACTTAAACTGCGACTAAAACTGAATTAGCAATGTTTGATAAAACTAATAAAACTGACTAAACCTAATTACTAATTTAAAATTTAAGTCAAATTAAAATGAAAACTAAAAAGAAAAAATGATTAATAAAACTATAATTGTACATGAATAACACTAAAGAACACTGGGACTTAATCAACCTGAGTGCTTTTGCTCCAGTGAAACTGAACCTGGAGTAAACTTTCTAGCAAACGTCAGTTTTAAGGGTCAGGTCAAGTAGAAATTGCTGCTTATATAACAACTGCACAGTTTTATTTACAAAGTGAATAGAACATTTTGGTTAGTGATTTCTATGCATACTTCATACGTTTACCAAGAGACTGCATTTATTTTAAAATAACATTTTAAAATAGTATTTATTTTTATTTATTTGTCAAAAAAATATTTTGATAACACCTAGATAACATGATGATATGTTTTTGAAAACATTTTTTACATTGCATCTACAGTTAGATTCAACCAAGGGTACAGTACAGGTGAAATATACAGCTAACCACATATCACGATGGCTATGTTACCATTTAATCAAAATAAATTTTGGGTCTAACTCTGAACTTCAAGATTTTCAAGTTTGCATTCAACAGTTACTGTTACGGAGAGTGTCAATTAGAATAGAAAAGAAATTAGTTAGCGGAGCTCAACAATGCGCCGTCCATATCATGTATCAACAATGTTACCTAACAGAGCACGGATAAGGAATACCCATCAGATTAAAGACCTGCTAGGGCCTTCAGAGTTGTAATAGTTTGATATATATATAGCCACTCCAGTCCTATTAAACATATAAGCAGTTCTGGTTCTAGCAACAAGACAAAAAATTTGAAAACTGAAGGTAGTAGTGGACCACAGATAGACTGCTGTAGCTAAAAGAGCATGATATGGCAATATGTGTAGGGGATATGAATGATGGCCAGCAGGGGGTGATCTTGTGTACTCTTACTTGGCCAAAAACAGAATCCACCATAGGTCTGAGGTCGAGTTCTTCCTTCTCCTTTGGTTCCCCAGTCTTAGCAGGCTCTTCCTCTTCCTCCTCCTTACCATTTCCACTTCTGCTGGGTGGATGGATGGGCTGATTCTTTTTCTGTCCCATTTTAGGTCTTGTATTACTGTTAAATACCTCCACCACACCCGTTTCAACTTGCTTCCTCTGTTTCTCCGCCTTCTTCTTGATTGCGGCCTGGATCTGTCAGAAGACACAGGAGGTTAGACATCCTAAACCAAGCTGATGATTAATCAGCAACCGGGGACATTTACATAGCTAATTATAACCATAATTGCAATTACAATCTACATAATGGGAGTGAAGGACACATTAGGTGTGATTAGAATGTGTGTTCTTTTTAAGAGAAAAAAAATCAGTCACAGTGGGTGGAGCCAGGGCACTGGTTACTTTGGGTGGAGCTAAAATTGTAATCAAGATTTGACTGACAGGTTCTTCAACAGTCACTCGAGTTTGTGCGCATGAAATTTCTACAAACATTGCAATGGTCGGAAAATGATTTTTTTCTTTTTTAAAAACAGAATTCTACATATAATAATACTTCCAAAATGTAAAAATATGTTATCTAGGCCTACTTCACTTTACTGCAACACTCCAATCCTGCAGATTTAAAGTTTGTGCTCTTTTAATTCAGCTAAGAGGCCACACTGATCTTCAGTCATTGCAACAAAAAGTGTAGTGTGACTGGCCCTTGTTCAAATTTGTATTATATAATATAAACAGCATGCTTCACAACACATCGTTTTACTAATCATCCAGTAAAATTGCATACTAAACAGTTAATTGTAATTTCAGTCTAAATCTGCACTAAAAAGAATAATGATTTTTTTTTTTCAGAAAGGTTTACTGAACAATCCCTCCGTCTTCTACTGGTCGGACAAACAGGTAGCCCCGCCCCCAAATTTATGTAATTGATTTTGCCAGACTGGTCAGAGTGCTCAAACAAACAGGGCAATGTTCTGATCGTGCCACAGAGTTTACGCTTTTCATGGAAATCAATCTAACAATGGTTTATGTATAGTTGTCTGTGCATATTAAGCTGGGATAAAGGAATGTATTTTAGCATTACAAAAATGGCTCACTTTTCCTTTTAAGCAGATTATATTCAGAACTGAGTATTTTAAAGACAGATGCCTATAAAATGCACATGGAAGCACATGCATGCACAACTCTACCTGTTTGGCTGTTCTCTCCGGTGGAGCGCTCATGCCGCCGGTACTACCTGCCCCTCCAGCAGATCCTTCTCGAATAATCATGAACATCCCTGCAACAATGGCACACTCTCTCTTTCTCTTCCTCTTCTTTCTCTCTCTCTCACAGTAAAACAACACCTGTTTTACCCCTCCCAGTACAGGCCTATCTGAAGTTTCTTCCGTGCAATTACAATTGTTAATCTCCTGTGAATTAGGAAGATGTGGCAAATGTGGTAATTGTTCTTTAAAAAACAAAATAAATCAATTCAAACTTCTTTCTGTTTTTCCACATCTTTCAGTCTATACTGACACCTATCTCTTTCTGTCGGACTCTAGCATCCGCTCCTCCGTACAAGTTTACAGTTTGTCATCCTTCTCTCTTCCCAGGTGTGTTTTATCCAGGAGGGCAAAGAAAGACTGAAGGATACCGTGTCTGCTTTTTGGCCTTCTAACATTCAGGAGGTGACACTCTATCCGTCCGATATCTCTCTCCTTATCTTTCGTTTGCCCTTTTCTGTCTGAGTTGCAGGCTGTATTCTAAAGTGCATTGGATTGGTAAGATAAGGGCTTTCTGTGTTAGCAGTAAAAAAAGCAGCAAAGGATTTATATGAAATTTCTGTCTCTTACACACGTGCTTGTTTGTGTGGTTTACAAGGACTCTCCATATAGGCCAAATGGTGTTTATACTGTGCAAACTGTATTTTCCATCCCATAAACCTGACCTTACACCTCACAGACAACTGCTGGCATTTTTTGAATGTCAAAAAACAGTTTAGTATGTTTTTAAAGTCATTTAGTTTATGAGGACACAGAAACTATGTATTCAAGCACACACACACAACCTACACACAGTGTTTCTGCTGTGCCTATAGAAATGGAGTATCAGCTTTTTTATTTATCAAGAAATTATTGGTTATTATTTATCTGTCACATTACCAAAAATGATGATGAAGATTACGGGAAAATGAAGGTTTTAACTGACTTGGAATCTGTCAATTAATTATTTTTAAAGAAAGTGCAGAATTTAAACTGAAATTGGCAAAGTGGTGCTCTGAAGAACACACTTTATAGCAACTATTTTACTGTTTATCTCTGTGAAGCTGCTTTGACACAATATGTATTGTATAAAGTGATAAAGAAATAAAGGTGAATTGACTAAGTCCTTTTAATTTATTTTACATGATTGAATATTATTATTGTAGAACAAACATCAACAATAATCCACGGGGTGTTTGTGATCTCTGTTACAGTCATCCTGTCATCTAAACCCGGATCTGTTCTTATCTGATGCCACAACAATCAACCTCTATTTCTTGTGATTCTGTTTTTGGAGTGATGTGGAAGCTTATTTTTAAGTAAACTTTCAACATGTTTAAGCAGAAAAGTTTCATATGTGAAAATTACATTCAAATATATAGTACACTAGAACTTTTAAATACAACATGATTCCTGAAATGCAATTCATTTGTGATTATGCCAGGTTATGTGCTGTGGCAGTAATAGCATTTATAAAAAAAGTTCAATAACTTCAGATGCAATCTCACTGCAGAACCATGGTGACCTCATTATAGACTGCTTATATGCCCACATTATTGTCCCTGACTTATTTCAATGTTAATCTTTCTAGATCTGATCAGTACACGGAAATGTATTTCCCAACTCTGCTCAGTTTATCCTACCCTTCATATTTAAGCAGATTCGATGATTATAGTGTGAAATCTTCTCTCTGTCTGTCACCTTCACCTGATGTATAATTTATGGATAAAGAGCTACACTCAGTCGGTGAGGAAGAGAAAGCTAAGTAACGGAAAAATGAAAAAGAGGAGAAAAAAACAGGGGAGTATTTGTGTGTCAGACACGGTGAACTCAGGGTGAGGGGAGAAGAGGGGATGCCATTGACTGATGACAAAACCGAAATGTAAAACTGCAGGATTGAGTAATGACTCTTTCTGGATTTTACAAGGATATCTAATTGCGATCTATCAAATGTTAGGGAAACCATAGGAGGAGAGAGGGATCTAAATGGAGAAAGAGAGATTGAAAGGGTAAGGAAAGGGGTAATTTGGTATAAATAACAAATTAGAGAAATCAGATCTTGTAAAGTAGACAGGATCTATTCCTTATTGATGATCAGTCATATACAGTATATTCAATGCCGTATGTGCACACATCTTGTAACCATGCATGTTTTCTGTTATAGGGCACTGCAATAATTATCAGTTTGACCAGGTTTATACCTCATATAGCATTAAAGCCTGCTATAGTAGATATCATATAATTCATTTGATCCATTTCTCTTATTGAAAACAATCATGCACATTTCACAAATAGTATATATCAACATATCAAGTCCGTATCCGCCCCTAAATTCAAGATTTTGGCCTGTGCCACTGACGAGGTCGTGACCTTTCTAAATATTATCATTACTGTAATAACAATAATCTGATCCACTGATATTGTATAATTCAAAAATATTTTAAATATTATAATTGCTAAAAAAAAAAAATTATAACAACAGTGTCCAACAGATTGCATGCAACCTGTTACAAAGAAAATTAAGTTTTATCTTAAAATTAAGATACTCAAGAAATATTTTATTGTTCTGTAAGGAAAAATTTTATTTTTTTTCTATAATTTTAATATATAATTTGTATTGTATTTATTACGGTAATTTTAAATTTCATCTTCTAAATTTTGTCTGATTATTACATTTTATTTCTGGAAATGAAATACAATAATCAGACAAAATTTAGAAGATGAAATTTAAAATTTATGCTGCTCATATACTGGTAATATTCAGTTTCACCTACTCTCTCTCTCTCTCTCTTTCTCTATATATATATAGCTGGATGGATGGATGGAAAGACAGACAGATAGATAGATAGATAGATAGATAGATAGATAGATAGATAGATAGATAGATAGATAGATAGATAGATAGATAGATAGATAGATAGATAGATAGATAGATAGATTGCACTATTTCAAAGCACTATTTTGTGTTTTTTATATGAAGCACCATGCACAGCTTCTTAAAAATATGACAAAAAAACTGATTGGATTATTGTCTTGTTATTGTGTCATGTTCAGGGCTAGAGATTATATCTTGACCCAGACATGCTTGACAGGTGAACTGTCTCGTTTAGATGAATTAAACATCAGAGGGCAGGAGGGCAGTCTGACTTTCTCAAGATCACTTGTCTCACTGATTCACCACTATGAGAGCAGTAAATGTGCTCACATGGATGCTTTCTTGTTTTTAAGAGTTAATAATCACTCTTGTTACAATTCAGATAATCCCACCATCATTCAAAAATAGAGAAAAAAAGATCAGTTCAAATATAGTGCAAAAGACTACTGGAGGTTTAAAATCTGATACACTGAGACCAAATAATTTGGCTGTCATCTTAGTAGCTGTATTTCCCTTTTAGCATAAGCATGGCATAAATGTGCCATAGCCCTAAAACATTACCATATATATTTCTAAATATATTCACACTGAGCTCCAAATATCTGAGACTACTAGTGAAAATACTTATATTTTGTATTCTTATTTAACCCTTTAACTGTCATCCCCATTTTTGAAAATTCATGAGAAAGTGCACTATCCAAACTTAAATTATTATAATTCATGAACGCTTTTGAATACAGACCTAAGGTTGGTCTCTTTTAAAAGAAGACAATTAGCATATTATTATAGAAGTGAAATCGTTTAATAAAATGAAAGTATTAAAAAGTTATAGAAGTTTAAATTTGCTGTAAAGAAAATGTATTGTACTCTTTTTCTTTTATTTTATATAAAATAAATAGTTAAAAATACAAAATTGCTATAAAATTAAAGCCATATGTCTCCATAAGTTGTGTTCCAAATTTGAAGTTGATATAAAAAAATTAGGTTCATATGCAATTTTGTTATGGCGTTATACCAAAAGCAGCCACCCGGTGCCACCCAAACTCCATTGAAATTTTTTTTTTATGCATTTCTGTCACAAATCTATAAATTTCTCTCTCAATATTACGTATATCACAAAATAACCAAAATAATTGCCAAGTCTTCGGATGGAAGATGCTCGTTTTATGGCTTTCCTGCTGATGCGGAGTCTCTGGGTTCGTACCATAAGGTAAACTCATATGATTATTCCATGAATACACCACATTTAGGCTACCAGCTTAGTCACGGTGACAGTGAAACTTTAATGATGCATAGTGCTTAAAGCCACGTTAAATGTAAATGTTTACGGTCACATGAAGCTGTTAGAAAGCATATGAGGATTTCCTAGAAGCAATGATAAAATAACATTTTGTGTACCCACCCTAATAAAGCTGAAATGTGGTACTTTATTCACTAAAATAAGTTTATTCTTACCATATCCAAAAACTCGCTCACTCTGCTATTAATAGATTAAATGCACTAGAATTGTATTGAATAGTATGTGGAGACACGTTTTTAATGAAAATATTCATATTAATCAAGGATTTATTGACTTTTATTGCATCTTATTTCAAAATGTACAGAAATACGTGCTTTCATATGTCCTTTAGTTATGATTATTTCATTTATTCACTAGGCTATATTTATTATTAATGTCTCATTTCAGTTTTAGTTTGGCTCTAGTTTTGTATTTATTCCAGTTTATATGAAAAGGTTCATGTAGCATGGATAAAAATTCATATACAGAGTAAATCCTTTCACTGAGCATGTTAAAAATAAGTTTGAAAAAGTTGTGGGAAGTGAGGTGGTGGTGGTGACGTCGAAGGCGAGCGACCGTGGTGCTGTAGTTTGTTTATAAAAGTTTAACTTTTAAGTTCTGGTGCTATTATTTAGGCTTCTAAATTCATCAAAGTTATATTATTTTGTGAAGATTATCTTAATGTACAAAACGTGTAAGTTTCGTGAACTATGGTTGAACACAGAGTTTATTTTTTGCGATAATCCAAAAGCCTATGGAAAAATCCTATAGGCTTGTCGAGGGAACCAGTGTCATGCTAACAGCCGATCCGCCGACAGAGTGGCCCTCATAGTTCCCCCACTCTGTTTCACAATATATGAACACAAGCCAAAGAGAGCA